TTGGCACTGATTCTTCTCTCCCGTACACACATAAAGTTCGTCTGTTTGTGTATATATATATATATATATATATATATATAATGTTTTCGTTTGGTCCATAGGCATTGATCCGGAGCGCAACGAGTTTCAACTAAGTCGGGGTCAGCTGCCCGACCTGGATGACGAAGACAACATTGTTGCAGACTTAACGTGCATCGGCGTCGTTGGAATTGAAGATCCCGTTAGACCTGAGGTACCGGCTGCAATCCGTAAATGTCAGCGAGCTGGTATAACTGTTCGGATGGTGACTGGCGACAATATCAACACAGCACGTTCTATCGCTCTCAAATGTGGCATATTAAAACCAGGAGAAAACTATATTGTGCTCGAAGGCAAAGAATTTAACAATCGTGTACGAGATCCAAAAACAAATCGTGTGCGCCAAGATTTGATAGACCAGGTTTGGCCACAGCTACGTGTACTCGCCAGATCATCTCCGCAAGACAAATACACTCTGGTTAGTGGGATTATTGATAGCCACATGACAACGCGTCGGGAGGTCGTGGCTGTAACGGGTGATGGAACAAATGACGGACCAGCTCTGAAAAAGGCTGACGTTGGATTCGCCATGGGGATTGCTGGAACTGATGTTGCTAAAGAAGCGTCCGACATTATACTCACAGACGACAACTTTACCAGTATCGTAAAGGCCGTTATGTGGGGCCGAAATGTATACGACTCGATTTCAAAGTTCTTGCAATTCCAGCTGACCGTGAACATGGTCGCCATTATCGTGGCATTCGTTGGGGCTTGCTTCATCACCGTAAGTGGCGTATTATTTTGAACTGCATAATCACTTATCGCTAAACCGTGCAAGATCATATCTAACCACTAGCCAGGAAGTAAGTAGTGGCGCTCAAAATCATCCTGATATTCAGAAACTAGCTTGCACAAGTTCATTAGTTTGTTGTAAGTTGTAAAAATTTCTAGCTGACGTATCTTTATATAAGGACACGCTCTACTCGATAAGCTAAAATTATGGGACGAAGGTGTGGAGCCGTAACATTTGGAGTAATCTTGGCACGCATTTCTGTATCAAGTTAGCAAATTTGTTTCTCCATGGTCTTCGAATAATAACTTTTAGTTCACGAAAAGCCCTTGTTAGTCACACCATGTTTTGAGGACCCTAAAGTCTGTAGATCCGTGTGCCGCGGCACTATTGCAATGTCGTCGCTGAAATCCAGTACTTTAGTTAAAAACACCTATCTAGGTTACAAAACCGCACTCTTTAATCCTATCCAGTACTTTAGTTAAAAACACCTATCTATCTAGGATACAAAACCGCACTCTTTAATCCTTACACTCACCGCTTTAGGAACTGTGTGAGCTAACACGGTGTGATAAAGCATGTCGTGTGAACATCAGCCTCCAATTTGGCAACACCACAATCTACCTTGGCCTTCTCAGTCCTTTTGTTCGCATTAAGTTTTCGAAGGCAATTTTTAGGTGCTTTTGCAAATATTTATTCATTTCAACTTCATCAGAAGCCATGAGTCTGTAGGACAAATTCTCAGTGTGTATGACTGCACGTCCTCCTTGGCAAAGGCAGGAAATCAGGATTGACTACTCCATTAGACTTAATACAAACTGAAAAGTCGGCGTTATCGCAACTTCTTTTGCGTACACTGCATAATCTGATTCCCGCTCGACAGCAATATTCAATTTATCGAGCATTCCTATTCCTACAGGACAGTCCACTGAAGGCAGTCCAGATGCTATGGGTCAATCTTATTATGGACACATTGGCTTCACTCGCCTTGGCAACAGAATTACCAACAGAAGAATTGCTAGAACGCGCCCCGTATGGACGATCAAAACCGATTATTGGCCGAACCATGATAAAGAACATCGTTGGCCAAGCTTTGTACCAGCTAGCGGTGATATTCTACCTACTGTGGTTTGGTAAGTCACACAATCCACTCGGTGCACTAACCTTAGCCACCCTAGGTGGCCCATGAAGTTGGCCTATCTCTCAAACTTGCAACCTCTTCCGCTAAATGAACTTGCCAGGACACCAAATTTAGCAGTTACGTCGACATTTAACACAAATGAATTTTAGTTAGTTGTCTTTCCAATACGGCCAACAGGATTTTCTCACTAATATTCTAAACCAGACCAAACAGCAATCCTGAACATTTAACACCGCTGTACTATACTTATCGTCCTATGGCTCATCAACCTTCATAATTAATCTTAAAGACGACTCCCTCAGTCTGTCCGTGACTTATCTACTCCGTGCTCCGCAAACTGTGTTTATCATACGATGTGGTGCTTGTCACAAGAGTCGTAGATCTCTTTCTGGAATCCCACCTACTGGTGACTGAGAGGTCAGGCGACAGCGTAGTGTTGGGTCATTTAAGGAAAACAGGCCACCAATCACTCCGTTTCATGTATATTCAGCACAACCTGTGTAGTTCCAAGTGATCGAAAGTATTTCAGCAGTTGGCTGTGAACGCGAGCGGGCTGATTGCCATCTGACTACTGACTTCGATTCTGTGTGCTCTGGAGCGATTAAACCGACCGAGCAGATTGAACTTGCCACCGATCGGCTAGCCACCAACAAACGCCATTCTTACCTTACCTTAGTTACTCTTCATCGTCTGATTAGTAACTCTGCGATTCGGAATCCTGTTTTCGTTTCGTTGATTAATTTACAGCTAACCGCGAAAATATGTTCGGTTAACTCCACATCCTAAGTACGAACTAAAATATGCAGCATATAAAATTAAGAGTCCAAAGATGTTTGTAATACTCAACACTGTCAAGTAATATTGCCCTTTATCAACGAAATGCTTGAACTTTGAGTATTCCGGTTGGACCAGTCCACACACATTTCTCAGTCTAAACGTGGTGCGATTGTCTGGGTGCATCAATAGATATATGCAAGATTAGATTTCTAACAATTTTAGCAGTGTGCTCATTCTTTACCATGTTACAACGGTATCGACAGGACCTCTATCGGTAATGTCCACGCTTAAAGCAGGCATTGTTCCCCGCGACTAAAATTTAGACACTAGGGAAGTGGTGCCAAATGGCGGTCGTTAACTTACACACAGATTAGCTTTAGACTGACAGTCATCAAACTAATTGGAACTGTATCTTGCCTGGGCTGGTAAACCATATAAATCCGGCAATTTTCTTTCTGATGCTCAGCATGGATCCTCATTGCGAATTACTTTACACGAAGCTTTCTGTAGCCAGAGTTGAGTAGACTCTTCTTCCTCAATTTTATTAGCGCTTTTGACCGAGTGAATCAACACCTCTTTTTTGGTGCTAAAAGAATACTGCTAAGGTCGGCAGATTCCATTCACCACCGCTTGCTCTGATAATTGACATCCCACGAAAGATAAGTATATTAACAGGATATCTCAGTTGGTGAGCTCACCATATCTGTTCTTCACCGATGATATCAAGTCGTAACGAATGGTTGATATCCTCCAAGATCTGAAGTGACCAACTCGACTTCACAAGCATCAAAAGAAGTGTCAGTATCACTGGGGGTTACTGTTTGTTATGAGCAGTGAGGCGTAGGTTTACATATCGGATGGTGGACACGGTGTGAAGATTTATTCCAACCTTAATATAGCCACTCCTGGAATGAAGAGCATCAGCACTCCCTCCTGTATACAAAACGAGGAATCTATAGCTGGAACTAATACAGAGGCTGGAGACCATCGACTACATTGATCGATCTTTGTCCTTAGACCTATACGCCACTGAAGATACCCCGGGCGTCTGGACTTGGTTTTTTATTTCAATACTGTCCCACCCAGGACATCGTCTTTTATTGACTACTGCCAATTCGCTGCGACATTTAACCGTCTATCTAGAAAGAAAGTTGGTAACAAATCCAAGTAAACGGAAGGTGACTCCACTGCTCCTCCTAAATACAACCTTTGGCGCTTGTTCAGTATCTAGTTTTATTTGGATTCATAACAAGGGAGACTGCTAACTCACCCAAGCCCAATCCAGACACAGGAAGTGGAGATGCGACTGGTTCAGAACATGAATATTCCAGAGTTTTACGCCAAAACGTTCTTGCCTTATCAAGTTAGTAGTAATGCACGGAAAACTGTTGTAAAATTGTCCTTGTGACTGAGAATGATGGCTCAGCTCTGTTATTTCGCTGTTCGGCGTACCGTAGTTAGAGGTACACAGCAACCTGGTTGAAAATACACTATATTATTTCCAACCCACTTAGCATCTTCAGGAGTTAAATCAAGTATAATCTCGACTTAAAAATTGCCCTATATTTCCACGTGGTCTACCCACCCTGATTGTATTGAATTTCATTTGAATCTGCATTCTTCACCTTACCAGGTGAACAAATTTTGGACGTGGAAAGTGGGCGTGGTCTCAGTGAGAAAGGTATTAACCGCCCAACAGAACATTTCACGGTGATCTTCAACACCTTCGTTATGATGACCTTGTTCAACGAAATTAACGCAAGGAAGATACATGGCCAACGCAATATATTTTCCGGGTTGATGAACAATATTCTTTTTCTTATTATCTGGGTGGCAACATTCTTTCTCCAGGTGAGTCCAAAATTTGTGTGCCCGGACTTCTCCAGTTCCAAATCCTTCGCTACAAACACTCAATTCATTGCCCGAACATCTGACATGTTTGGAAATAAGATACATGAGCGGTGAATCCCAGCGTAGCTACTGTTTTCCGTCAAGATAGCTAACGGGATTCTCATCGGGTGGCGTTTACCTTTTCACCGTTGACGGAGCTGATTGAACTACACCGTTTTCTCAGAGCTAATCACAGTCAAAATGTCTCCTTTGCCGCTGGTTCACGAAATCTGTAATACAAAAATAGGTTATTTTTTGTGAACTTGCCGCCACGAACTAGATGATCTGCTGGTCAATACTTGCAATCGCTAACCTTGCCTACCACCTCCTCAGTGGTCGTCAATCAGCTCTGCGTGACGATAAACATATGCCGTGACATAAGAAACAAACAAGTATGCAAACAAATACCGACTTGCGTCTGTTTACCTAGTCATCAAAAGTATCCCTTTCTATGCACGTAAACATATTCCTTCTAAGAGAGACACAGCGGTCCCAGCATTGAAAGCATAGTTATCTAGTTCTTCTGCCCACAAAAGTGAGTTGCATAACATCCTAAAATATCTACTCAACTGGGCTTCGTAGTTGCCAAGAAAAATGTTGGAGCGTTACTCGTTTCCTCATTTGATTATGGGAGTCCCAAATACCAGGTTTTATTGATCCGTCATAACTTTCTTGTATAACCTACAATATAATAACAGATTCGCATTGTTCTCTCATTGAACCGGTTTTTAACTAGAAAAACGTAGCCTATTTTTGTTAAAATGTCCCTCATAATCAGTCAGGTGGAATAACTCTCGTCTTGAAATATAAACCAATGTTGTGACAGTCGAATCTATCGTTTATTGCACAGAGCTCGATCAATTTCATTTACACCAATATTTCTTCGGAGATTCAGGTGACCCGCTATCATATAACTCGATATGGTCACTTCAGCTAGTGGCAAAGTCAGCCACATCCCGGTCGTACTATTGAGCAACGCTTAACCGACGGCACGTGACACCGCCTGTGTTTGGTTGGAGACGCTGTAAGAAAAGGCGGCTAATAGGGCTAACAGTCTCCATATTGTCTGATTGAGCGTTTGGAGGTGTGGGCACCTCATAATGTTTGACATAGGCCAGCAGTGAGTCCCTTCCCTCACCCAGTCTTTTTCTCTTCTAGGGCTTGTAATATATATATATATATACATTAATATAACACAATATAATATAATTATAATNTATTATATAATATATATATATAATAATGTAATAATAGTAATAATAATGTATAATATATATTGTGTAAACATATATAATTAGACGAACCTTATGGCTGTACAGCAGTGAGGCATCAGTGTCAACACTGATGTTGCTGTCTTTGATGTCGGTGATGATGATTACCGACGGCCATATGTTATGTTACTAAGGGATCTATGGATATCTTTTTTTCATTCTTCGAATAAATGTTACTGTAGGAAGACGAAACCCAGGGACTTAGAGGACACTACCCAATCTCACACCAAAATGTAAGATGATCCATCGCACTGAACGCTTTTCTTCAACCAAAAAATTACTCACTCCTGTAAATGAATGGTTCAAATTGACGGTCCCTGTTTTTCACAAATTGTGTCCAAATCTGAGAGTGATTGGTGCACCGTTGAGAAACCGCCGGGTTCCATTTTACAGCAGTTTCCCCATTAGTGAAGAAACATGTGAAAAAGAATTGCCTAGCTCCGAGAACAAACAAACAACCATCCATGGTGCTTAAGCTGTCAGCCTTCCACTCGCTGTCGCACTGGAGTCCGATAACCCTGAGATTTACAAAATCGAGCCGTTTGCAAAATTGAGGCCAACAAACAATAGTGTATCTCCCTTGGTTTTTGAGAGGAAACGGATATAATGTCCCATTCACTTGATTAATCGCACCACTGGCTTCAGTTCGAAAAAATCCACGCTAAGCAAAGTCTTTTTTTGAGAGAAGCATTTTGATCTTGTCGCATGCGGTCCAGAACAAGACAGTTCTACTCAGTCTAACTCGCTCAGAAGAAATAAACTTGAACTTCCTTCATCAGTAGTAAGATCACGAGGAGCCGATTAGTCCGAAAGATAACTGGACAAACTCAAATAAACAATCCTCACCCTGTAAGATTCACGTGATAAGCCAAACCATTTTCAGTCATTTAGTCATATCTAAGCCGTTATTTTCATTCCTGATTAAACTGGGATCATCAGGCCTTTTGTACAACTGTTTTATGGCCCACGAACTGCACCAGAATGTATTCTAATAGAACGCTAGATGGCTGATTGTACGAATGTGTCGACAAACGATAATCCTCAAAAACTACATTTATACAACGCTAAGCAGGCGGAAAACCGTTGACCGCGCATGAATACACTGCAAACGGATTCGCTTATCACCTTGGACCACCCCAGTGGATCCGTAGCGACTATCGGAATATCTTGCTGTTGACACGAAGGAGATGAACCGAAGTACACACCGGCGAAGCGCAAGAAGATATGCACTCACTCAACAGACAAGGGTGACTGGTCATTCGGTAGATCCTATCGAGGGGATATAATCAAATCAAAGGAATGCATTGACCTGTATATAATACACGCAAAATATTCCGTGGATTAAAAAGTTACATACACTCAGTATCATAGACGTGTTGGAACCTGAACGTGGGCAACGCATCTAGCCCCACAAGACCTCTTATAGTTGACAACCAATGTGCCGGATCTAAAGTAGTGGCACCTTTGACTCTGTAATATGACTTGTCCGAATCACATTCCTTAGGCTCGAGTCCGTCCTGGTAAAGTAGCATGTAACGATTTATCAGGGTTGTGTGGGCCTTAATACCACCCTTAATACCATTAAAATGTGACATTGTCTGTTGTTAACAATAATGGACTGAATGGTGCAAGTTCGAGTGGGATTTACTCTAAGACCTTATGGAAATTCGTATAAATCACTTACCTTCAGCAAGAAACGAATTACACAATGGGTAGCGATTCGCTTACTCAAACTGCTTTTCTGACCACAAAAGACATGAAGTGGTTAAATGGTTAAATGGAGGATGATCATTTAGAAGCTTCAGAAATTGATTTTCAACTTCACGGCTTCTGGTGTTTGAACTTCAACAGTGGTGCAGTTCAACGCATACCTGAGACTTCCCGTGTATCAAGTCCAAGCCTTTTTATGTACTTTCAGGGAAGATTTTCTTCTAATTCTAAAGTGAAAACAGGCCTCGGTTCCAATCAGTTGGTTTCCGTTATATATATTTCACACCTCCGTGTTGTGCAACAGTGGTTGAAGCTAACCTTCATAAATAGATTGTCACATTTTTTCATATTCACTAGTGTTATTGGGCAGGCTAGCATAAAGCGCATAGATGCAGCCGAAAAAATTGCCGCGTACCAAGTAGTAAACAAGGGACATCCCACTCGAAGAGACGGGAAAACCGTGCAACAGCCAATGCATTTCAAACTCCGTAAGATATCGGATGTCGATTTGAACAGACACTGTTCCGCTGTGACATTTTTCTTGACTTTTCTGAACCGCGTGGAATGTTAACCAAGATTCCCTCAATGTTTCAAGATAGAATGAATGATGCCTTGTTAGTTTCACCAATCCGATTTCGACATATTGCCTACATTTACCCAATTGGTATTTCAGGGTTTGAAGTGACCTTTTACTTCAGATATAAGGGTACTATGAGCTGGATTTACATTTTAATGGCCCCAAAGGTTAGAAATATTGAAGAGTTTTGAAGGAGCAAACATGTCATGGATTATTGTTGAAATATTTTCACCGCCTTCGTTTGACCCAAGCTTTGTGTCACTCAATACAGCTGCATTGGTTGATTTTGGCTAATGTTCGTGCTTTTACTTTCAGGTGATCATCGTGCAGTTCGGCGGATACGCATTTAGCACAGCTCCGTTGCCTTTAGAACATTGGCTGTGGTGTCTGTTTTTCGGGATCGGCTCTCTTGTTTGGGGTCAGGTGAGTCAATTTGTCCACGACTAACGCCGTTCGTCGTCCATGTATTCAAGTGAACCTTAACTAAGTACTTCCGCGCAAAGGGGGTATGTAGCAATCAGAAATGGTTCACTTAAATGGCCAGCTACACTCCCATACAGTGTGAAATAGAAACCCATGCAACCCTCAAGTTTCATTGCCTAATTATAAAATTGCATGGAAAGGCAACCCTGTCCTCCAGTTCATTCCTCTTCAAAATAAATAGGTTTGGAAAAGTGTGTCCTTGCCGAATTATTGACACTGGTGGAGTTCCAGAGTTTCGGCTCAAATCCTTCTCGAATAAGGATTTTCACTTCATCCTGAATTGACAATAGCATCCGCAAAACAGCAATGTTTTAGTTCAACTCTGATCTGTAACAAACAAGACAACTATACCTACGACTGTATGAAGCTATCACTTACTCGCGGGTACTATTAGCGGATACACTTTTATTAGTCTTTCCCAGTGCATAGCTTTTAGGTAAAATAGCCTCTTAGTCGATGGGGTATCGATTTCTCAATTACAGACCAAGGAACTTAAAACTGTCTCTGAGCTGGCTATGCAACGTCAATGGTAGGTTGGATTCTTCAAGGCACTAGCTATTCGTTCATTGGGCTAATGGAAAGTTTGTTGCAGATGCAAGTGCTACAGACCTAGTCTGCCGGTGGGGCATCATTTTTGTTTGAACACATCTATTAGATGTCGCCATCGAGCTGATGTCTTCTTGCTAGGGATCACTTTTCTTTATTCTAACTTACTGGACCTTCCTTGGTTTGCTATTAGATTGCACAATACTTATCTCTGAAACAACAAATCCACCACTGTTGTCCACTGTAGAGAGCTGTCTCCTTCAAAAAGGAATTAACCACAGATTCCCTCTTCATTTCTCCAGGTTATTACAACCATTCCATCATCAATCATACCCAAACGCACTCGCAAGCCTCCTAAGGGAAGGCGTGTGACGCTAGTGCCAGTGACTGATGTGAATGCACCAGAAACTACTGGTCTGATGGACGCTGAGGCCGGCGGACCCCCCATGGCTGATGGTGGTCTGGGACATCGTCCAAGCACAGGATTTGTAGCCAAAGCGGCCAATGTGGTAGCTCGCGGATTGGGAGCAATCTATCCAGCTTCAGCACCAGAAGAGGAAGAAGAAGACGAGGATGAGGAACACGAAAATTTGACCGGATCGGAACTGAAAAATACGGGACAAATATTGTGGATCCGGGGTCTTTCACGATTGCAAACTCAGGTGGGTTTTTACTGATTTAAGCATTTTCTCTAAGGTGTGTTCTCAAAACCTCCATGGGTCATGCAAAATTGTCAGCCCTTGGACGTTATTCTGCAACTCTGGGGATCGGAGGGGGAAAATGACTTATTTGTGCTCAAACCCGGTCGTGTTTACGCAGTCTGTATTTATACTTGATAAAAAGACATAGGTTAGCTAAACCAAGGGACTAGAGTCTCTCTCGTGTGATACGGCAATAATCTATCCCATGTGGAATCCGACAAATGCCATAATAAAACCTTTTTGACAATTTCCCACGGCGTTGTCATCTGAATCAAATGGCCATTAGACCATTAAACCAGATTAAGACTGAAAATATTCTTAAATTGTGGAACTCGGATTCCTTAGCGTTTCTCAATCGTATGATGATTTACTCATAAATTCTGTGACACATTTTTATACATATAATGTACTTCGCATCTCTTGTTGGCTCAGTGAAAAGTCTAAATATTGTCTTGTATAATTTAACCGTATGTGTGAGTGAATCTAGGTCTCTGAGCGAACAACAGAACATTAACTACAGACCTCCTGTTTTCAAACTCTTAACCTTTCTAAGGACTATTTTCTTTGGGCTTCTTCCACTTTGCCCAAAGGAATATTGCAGTCTTATTGACACCTGAGTCAACACTCTGGAGGGGGACAAATCATTATGTTACACTAATCAGAGTGGAAAGAAAGACAATATTGCAAGTGAATCATTGTGGTGATTTTAACACCAACTGTTGTAACATTGTGATAACACAATAACTCACGTATGTCACTTACAAACGAACCACCTAATCATTCGATGTGAGGTGGCAAACGCGGAAGGTGATTTTCCTCAGAGAGCACATCCGCGTGCGGCAGTCAGACATCCATTTGATCCGTTTTTCTTACTGTTTCCCTGTTTCTAGTCGCCTTCGATGAACTTCTGTATACTCAAATAACAGCGTAGTGGGGTTTCTGATTAGGTTAACATGATGGGGATACTACAAGCTTTTATGTGAAAGTTAGCCTGCGAGAAAAATCACAGCTCGTCATGTTCGACAGCGGCTGCTGGACATTCTCAACTAGATGAAAATACTTCAAAATTAGTGCAAGAAATACAATTTAACTCCACTGATATTCTGAGGAAAGTAGTTAGGAGAACGAATAAAAACTCCTTAATTATGATGGTACGGAAATTTATTATCCCCATTATTATCACAATCTTAGAGCACTGGTCTCCAACATTTTTTGATAAAGCTAAGACCTCCACAGTATACTGAAGATTTGCTCTGAGCTTATATGTATTGGATTGCCTTACAAAGTGTTCGAGCGTTAATTTGAGGCAAGTGAACATGAAAGCCGTCCCGGTTTCAGCTGGAAGGGCCGATTTACTTGTTCCCAAGAATCTGTAGACGACCAGATTACGACGAAGTCATACAGTTTTTTTGTAAAAAGATTAATTCGCTGTACGCAATGACATTGAAGAATGCCATGGAGGCACGCTAAGCTACAACATGAGGATGGCATTCAACAGAGTCCGGTTCAAGTGTATTAGTCTGATAAGCAACGAATACTGATTTCACGAATGTTCAGTTAGCTGAACCCTCGTAGATGCACCAACGCAATGTTGTCAATCACTCTAGCGTAGCCCATGGTGGAAGTTTTTTGGCCTATTTGTCTACTTGCGGCCCCAGAGCACATCAATCACTAGAGGTTCTCTACAAGTTCAGAAATACGAATAAATTCACACTGTATTTGAATAAGCGAAAGAAATTGTGAAAGAAAACCAGTAGTTCAATTCGTCTGAGACAGCACCTGTTTGGTTAAAGCAGTCCATCGTCTTGATCGTGAAGTCCAAGTATGTCCGGAATTTGCAGGCCAGAAGATAATCATACGGAAAACTTCGCGAATTTCTTTGATCACTTATGCCTAACCACGGGTGGAACGGGTTTAAAATCTACGCTGTGAAAGTTGAGGCGACCGAATTAAACAGGAGACTCACGCTGTTTATTCTGTCGTTGTTCTGTACCCTGTCAATGTGCTCATATTGTTGTCAGACAACTTCCACCACCTATGTTGCTGACATAGAACCCCTCGAAGTTTATAAGTAATCCAGAACGAGTGTTGATATATTTATCAGTGCACAGATACGTTCGATAATAATAACGCTCTGTCTTTGTCTCTTCTCTCCTTTACTCTCTTAAACCCTAAATGCACCCTCTTGTATGTTCTATTTTCCCGTTTATACATTATTGTTTTTTCTTGCATTTTCGCAACTCACGTCAAATCATCTCTACACATACATACGCCCGAAAACCCCACACACTGATCTTTTCCCCTCTTATCGACTGGCGGTTGCTGCACACTTGCCTACTGAAACCAACTTACCCCACTCAACTTAACCAAACTACACTACCGACATGCATTCCAATGCTCTGTTCGATACACCTTTCATATTCACCCTTCAAAAATGATCCTCCAACTATGCCATTTGCCCTTCGTCGTATCCTGCCTGCTTGTACTACCCCTTATATACCGTATTTCTATGGACCCGGTCGTATGCTGCGTGTGAATGGTTGTGTTTGCGCACTCAATCTGGTTGGACCGAATGGCAACTGGTACATTACCTGCATGTGACTGCTCCCCGGCCACTACGAAACTACCTAATTTTTTCGTTGTACGCATGAAACACTACCTCGACTGGGGCTGATTATCTTTGTGCCATGTCTCACTTCAGGCGGCCCGAGAACCTAGTTTAGATACGCGTACAGACGAATGGATGGGTCGTGTCCGACGATTTACACTGAGTCAGATTAATACAGAGGGCATGGTCCATCCTCTTGTCTTGGCCGCAAGACGTCAGAGTACGACAATGCAAGAGTCTACGCAACAACCAGGTGCACTTTATCGTGCACGGACCCAAGATTTACCCGAAGAGGATGAAGAGGTAGAAGAACCGGACTCACGTTAAACACACCAACAACGTAACCGAGAGATGAATGATTTTTTTAGAGACAAAATCCACTAACACCTTTTCTCCGATCGGAAAGATATTATCCTCTGCTCTTCTCATAAAACTTTCAACCAGTTCTGTAGATTTCACTGAAAAACTCCAATAGTATTCACTCTTTGGTTCGTTCAGTGTTGCAGGGGTCTGCTTACCGGTTTCAGAGGCAAGATGAAAAATTACCCTGCCTCTCCCCACACTCGAAAAGATGTATTCATTTCTTATGGTGTTGTATGTTCCCTTACCTAGGTATTTAGTTTTAACATGTATACTGACCAAATTGGTGAGGGAAAATTTAGTGTGAGAATGAGCTTCAGACGTGGAATACTGTTGTTCTGTGTTCATCCGTTTATCGGTTCATTTACTCCCATTTTTCTGACGGCAATCCGTCTTGAACTTTTCGCCCATCCTTCTATCCTTCCTCCCCAAAACATTTTCTCATCTCTTGCATTATCCTAGCAGCTACACGCAGTTCTGAAAACGATGTTTTCCTTCAGACCAAACTACTCTAGTATGTTAGTAACCAATTGATTTGTGTGATTTTACTCTTCTGAGTTACAACCCTACACTTTGGCAAGTCCTCTTGAACCCATATATATACATATATATATAACTATCTGCCAAGCTACCGGGTTTGGTTGTCTACCCTAGTACCGGTATGCACGAATGCGTGTGACTGTATACTAGCTTGGATAAGGAACGATGTGAGATATTTTTTGTAGCTTTGAACTGATCACGCATCTAAGTTCTCATCCACACACGCACACACATACTGACACATTCTGTCTTGTTGCTCTCACAATCTGGTTGGCGTGACACGTGTCGGTCAACAAACTTTTACTGTATGGTAAGCCACTTGCCTATATTTAAGTATTGTGACAAAGAAAATGAGTGAATTTAATAAACGGATCATCCATTATAGTACCACGCCTGCTTATTGATTTTTACCATAACGGGAGCAAAGTTGTTGGTTAGCGTTAGTGAAACTTTATAAGTGCAACAATCCAGCGGGGAACACACCGACCTCTGTTCATTCAACCCAACGTACAGGTTAACACACAAAACATACACACATACCAACATGTTTTCAAACCCTAATTCGGTCGATGCATCTGAGCCGGTGCGCAAAACATACTCGTTTGGGAAGAAAAAAGATGGAGGGAACGAGAGAAGGACAGTGACAGTGCGCGCGCCGGAAAACGAAAGCTTGTGAACGCGTCGCACGCCACTATGTAACTAGACACAAACGAAGTCTTAAGCAGCTGTTCACGTCCCACGGGTCACAGAAATCTCAAGAAGATTAGGAGAACTGTCGAACCCGTCGGATGAGCAGCTCATAGTGGTTCAACATTAATTCGGTTGGTCCAGTGTGGAACAACAAGTTGGTAGAAGCGTCGATACAGGATTACATCCTCCCTCCACTTAGGCTTGTCAGAGATCCAAAGTCATATGAAATATTCTTGAAGCAAAGCTCACTTAGTCGTTAGGTGACGTCGGCATCTTCCATTTAACTTAGTCGCAATTATCAGAAAAACAGCATAAGGTTCGACAGCACACACTTTTCATAATGCTGCCAAAATGCAACACAGTATAACAGGCATAACAAAAATTGAATAGAACAAAAGTATTCAAAATTATTCAAAGTCAGGCAGTGCATGTCAATCGCTAGTTATCCGCCCGGCGGTCTGTATATCAGTTCGGGTTAACCTGAAAGCGAACAACCTAAAGGAGATCAAACTCGGTTAATTGGAAACTTTTAAGTTCCTTTCACTTCGCTTACTTGTCTGTAAACAGTAATTAACCTATTCTTGTTTATTGCTCTCCATTCTATTCTGAATACGCTATTGTATTTGAATAAAAGCCACCGAAACAGTTCTCGCCTATTAACACAGGAAAAGAGTGCCGAGAATCGACTAGGAAACAATAAGTGGATCTCGTTCGCCTTCATCTTAATATTTTTATCAGATAGGTGCTTTTAACTCCGCTGAATGCGCCACATTAACCCTGTGTGTCTATTCCCTCTTCCTTTCACGCCTCCGTTGCTGACTGCTTTGCTTATCAATCGGTGTTGTGCTATCTCTTATTCAACATACCTGCTTTGTGTGATGGAACTCGCTGCTTTCCTCCGCCACATCTAATCGTTTTATTCTATGCACTGACTGTCTATTTATTGTGCCTGATCTATCGTGCTCGTTCGTTAATCGCTACATCTTCAATTTTGTGATTACTTTCTTTCCCCGCAAACATTATTTGTACGTGTGTTCTTTGGTGTACGGCGACTCTAATGATGCCAAACGGTTCGACAACTAATCGTAATACTTAATCTCAATGGCTGTTCAACCACAATGAACTATCAAACCTATTCTGTCGTTCAGCTTAAGGCCGTGCGAGCTTTTAGGCAAAGACCTTTTGTGGAGGGAGATAAGCAAAATGTAGCGGCTTTGATACATCAGCAACGTCAAATTATTTCTAGAGACGCTTTGTTTCACAAACAGGCTGCTGAGGGTCTTGTCAGTCGTCGGAGTGGCGAGTTATCTACCAAGAGAGATCACGGACATCAGGATTCCGGAGTAAACAACCGTCAAGAATATTTTGCGACTGCTCTTTTTCAAACATCTGCGGAGGAAAATACTGCTACGGACCACCCGCTACCGTCCATTAATACAGAGGTCATGGAACATGGCGATGTGTATCAGACTCAAAATGACTACGGAATTTATACAACTTCGCCCTTGAATGATCAGCTCGAGTGCGAGTTTGTCCACTCTGAATTCGGGATGGATAAACAACAAGCAGATATCCCACCGAATGAAGGAAAGGGAAATAAAGCCGTGGGAGAGTATGATACGGAACGAATAACAGGACCGGTTGGTCACCAAGAGACTTGCCCGGAAAATTTTGTTGCTTATTCAACACCCGATCCCGGGTACCAGACAGAGTCCATAACCACTGTTGGTCAGCGACCTACCGCGCCTCGTCGATCGTTGGCCGGTGGTAGGCGATCAAGCAAGCCACCAGCGCCTCCACCACCAACGCCGTTAAACTGAAAGGCAGTTTTGTCTAAATCAGATGTATATAAATAATCTTCATAGATTTCTTCGGTCACATCCAGAGTTTGTATTGTCTTGGATTATACTGCTCATTGTGCGATACCAGCAATTACCTCAATCCACCGATACGACTCAGTCATCCCTGAAGCTCAAATGGACGCTCAGTCAATTTTCCTTTATGCCGCACCGTTTGACACGAGAAGTGGAGTGTTCATTTTCCAGATTATCCTTACAGTTTTATAGGTGAAATGCAGAATAATATCCCCATCTTATATTCATCCAAGACCAGGAATACAAAACTATGGTTGGTTGAACGACAGAGATTCCTTGTATCGAGTTCCCAAACGAATCCAGCTGTTTTTTCACCGAAGAATGTCCATTTTGAACCGAACTTTAGAAGATGCGGGTCCTTCCCGGTAAGGGTCAATATTTTGATTAGGTTGGTTATTTCCCATGGTCAATATCTCATTACTCTTTTGCTCCTGAAACGCTTCCTCAGTGAGTGATGTAAACTACGTCTCGTGTCAGTGAAGTCTGTAATGTACGCGTCATGAAACCATAGGCAAATGACTAGTGCAATTGGTATGGCTTTCAGCTTGCTTAACTATGATGACTGGTCAGGAAATGGCGAGAGGCCTGTGGCCACGACACTTTAGATCTCATTGCATTCCAACTACTCGTTTTCGTAGTCAGTAGGCACCCCGGGTGATCGCACGGACCTCCGTGATTCATATCTCCTGTCGAACTGATCCGCCCTATATTGCATGTTGTCACGTTATCCTTCAAAATATATAACTTTTTAGTTGTGTTCGTTGTATCCCCCACACGCTTGACAAACGGACATGATTGCAATGGTGCCTGTACCCTCCCGATTAGTTGAATCCCACTCAAATGGCATGAGCAAATATCAGGACCAACACAGATCTTTATCGGTCCTTTTCGATTTCTCTGATTTCAGATAAGAGTGATCAACGCATTTAGAGCCGGAATACCGTCTCGACTGGATGTTTTGCATCGATTTGGTTCGGTTAACTTGGACCGTGTGCCCGGCCGATCAGCTTCAATTGGAATGTTCGGTCGATGCAATGCGAGTACCCGTGGATTCAATCCAGAGAACCCAGCCATGCAATAGTCCAGCATATTCACAGAGCATAGATTTATTCTGCATCGAGCTACATGACTTTGTTGATACCGTAATTCACCAGCTTTGTTGTTGAGCAGGTTAAGAGAGCAACCTTGGCAATATTTACCAACGGCTGACTGCCGTCCTTTTCGCACCTCTTGAAACAACCCTTACAAACTCATTTTGCTCCCATCAGATTTTCACCATATTTTATCCTTTTCTTCCTTTAGCAACGAAACCTTCCTCGTATCACCCCAATAGTTGGAAAAACCGATTCAGGAATTCAGGTAGAACTGGTTTGTATGTCGATATCAAGAGGATCCATTGTAGACCGATTCTAACCCCAATTCCATTCACGTGCTACTTCAATGACTCTTGTCGGTCCTGTCAGTCTCCCTTTGAGGACCAAATGTAAATTAGTCCCACAATTATAGAAAACGAAACATTAATACTGAATAAGCCAGAACCAACGAAATAACTATCGGTTTATCACTAGGGGTGGAAAATATGAGGGAAATCACAACTGGCAGAACGGAACAACACTCCCTGGAGAATTTTCCCCTAGTTGCCGAACAAAGAACATACTACGTAGGCTATAGCCGTGATCTATCCGGCTAACCTGTACCCGCCCCGTTCCCGAAAATCATAATGTACCCGGCCCTTGTTTTTTGTATCTATGACATTTCGCTCAATTTTTCCTCGAACATTCCTAGATGCCATTAGCCCACAGATCTCAACATTCACTTCTACGCTACTGTAGCACGAAATATTAGCGAATTCATTTCAATGATGCATAAACAAACGCGTACTGTTTCCTCTGGTTATCTCTACAGCACGTGTTATAAAATGTAGGCCTTCAGATCATTGATCAAGACACTTAAATTCCCAAAAAGCGGACACCTTTTGGACCAAGTCAAACCGTTCGCTTCAAGGGAGAATTTGCTCTGCTTTGGAGAAGTATCATGCACGGGAACAAACGACTGTGTCGGGCTTTATGCTATTTATTAATCTGGTGTGTTTTGTACGTTGGACTCTTTCCTTCTAAAATAAACAAACAGAGGCTTTTCCCATTCGTCAACACTTATACGAAATACTCCGCTGTTCGGTAAAACTCAGAGATGGAAAGAACTAGGGGTATTTTAGAGACCGACGTTCGTAGGCTTCCATAATGAACTTAAGCAGATTCGTTCCTGAATTAGAAGTTTATACAAGCATTTTCCCAAGACTATTTCCACTCGATTGTTTGTATCGTTTTTGTTCTAATCTCGCATGAATGGAATCCATGATTCCATATATTTAGCCTTTTGGACGTCGTTCGAGAAAGAAACACTGCTAGTGATACGCAGTCCATCAGGACCTAGTAAGTTGAGTGTTAAAAATGTGCGTAAGTTCTCTCATAAGGTTCCCAAATCGGTTTTGAACAGACGGTTAAAAAACTAAATAGTTGTATGGACCTAAACTGAACTGCTAGATTGCTATGAACTCGAGGTAGTGCTGACAGATCTAAATCTTGTAAGAAGACGGAAAAGCATCAACTCACCAGGGCGTGGAATATGTCGTCGAATTGTCACAAAAAATCGATTACAGTAAGAGGACCATCGTACGCTTGGGCGTCATACACAGCAACTGCTACACGAGGCAGTTTGTTTCTGAACTGAACACTAAGGGCAGTATGCTAGCGATCTCCAACCTGACACTGGGACAACTGTGCAGTGAAAGCGTTCGGTTAGCTGATAAAACATTGTCAGAGGTCATGTCCGTCATCCCACTATGGCCAAGTAAATACACTCAGTTCTGTTCGAATGTCTCTTTCCTCCAAATGTGTGAGAATTCGCACGTACCCCTAATGCACCATATGGTGCTCGTTTATGTGAGTGTATCCTACTGAGCGGATGAATACGTCCCAAAAGTAACACCTGGTTTTTCGTTACGCATGCCTATGAGAACCATTCACGTCCCATTATAATTTTATGCCATTCAGATTGGCGACGTGCTTCTGAAATCATGTTAACAACCAATCCGCATGTACAATATGCGGGGTAAGAATATAGGATCTCTTGAATGTCCTCCATAAATGCACACAGGGTGTCAATTGTGGGCTGGTACGCAACGGTGGTTTGCATGTTGCTGTGGTAATTAGAACTAATTCGGCAAGTTTAATGGACTCCTGTGGATTGGACAACGCGTATGCTTAAATTACTAGCATTAACATGCTCATCCTCACTTTAAATCGACCATTCCAACCCACGTTACCGTGTGCTCGCAAGTTGAGCCACACAACCGTGCTTTCCCCTTTGTGGTCATATCGCGGCGAGATGGTGAACCAATGGCGCGTAAATCAAATTTCGGACAAATGCATCCTCTGGCGCTAAGCACGTACTAACTGGTCATCCGTGCAAATGTTCGACCTGTTGCCGCACTAAGCCAATGTCCACTGAAAATCCGAGCAGTATTGGTCGCAGAGAGTGAAACGTTTTATCCACAAGTTCCAGTGAATTGCTGGAAAAGGAAAACTTTGACGAAGACTTTGTAAATATAATTGATATGCAGTCAAGATCCACCGATTCAGTTAACCTGCTGAGCTAGCTAAGATTGTCATATCATTTTCCAGCACAGATTGACTTTCCAAACCTAGGTGCGTATGAACCAAAAACAGGCGATCAGCACCTCAGTTGGTGACTGGTTCTGGACGACAAAATAGATCCCACCGTGAAACGCAAACCTCACACTGAGTGTGATATATATATATATATATATATATATATATATATACGGATCCCACTGAAAAGACCGAGTATGGATTGTTCAGTGTAAGCAAAATATCCGGAGAGTCAAAAAGTTGGCACAATCTCCCTCAGTGTGATACGAGCAATTATACCATCATACATACACGAAAACTGGAGTGTACTCCCGCTTCCATCCAGAAAAAAAGGAGCGGAATCGATCAAGCCCAACTCATCATCAACACAAACGGTACCTCTAACGAAACAGAATTTTGAAATTGAAGCAAGGAGCTGAGCGAACAGGTTACCAGAAAACCTGATACGAACTGACAGTTCATATGAGCTAGCGCATTGGGAGACCTAGCACCAAACTACAGTGCTGTACACGTAAGAAGAGTCAGAATAAATTGACAACTTCGATAAACCATTGCCGATGGATACTGCAGATGTTATATCCTCTGCTTATACATCATGAATGTGAACACTTGATGCAGAGTTGCAGAAGACATGTGGAACCATATTCCGAAAAGACTCTTCTGGAAGTTGCTCGATGGCAAGTTACCAACTGGTTTTCAAGGTAACGTACAAAAGTTTGATCGATGGGCCACGCGTTCTTTTGAAAAGGTGAGCCAAAAGTGATTTAATGCGGTCCAGTGGACATGGAAGCATGCAGTTCTGAAGGACATTGCTTGTCAAGATTAACCATATTTCACATCCCCAGACGTATAATGCCTAACTACTACTACACGCTAATGACGTGTTGGAATCAGGTTTAAATGAAGTTGAGAGCACAGGTTCTTCTGATTTTGAACGTTACCTAGTGGTGAACTGTTTGAGTTCAGTGAATGTTCGGGGTTATCGCGTCTTAATCTGTTGTTCCAGGATAAATCGTCATGCAAAACAATGGTAGTAGTGTGAAAGCCAACACCTCCCACTTGTAGGTTGTGACTTCGATTTTAGTTTTAAAGCCTGTTAGAAAGACCGATGAAAAGCCCCGCCTGGTTCTAACGCCATAATGTTGAACTCCTCCCGGTCAGACCCAACGGCAGTGAAGCATCGGTGTTGAACACTGATGTCATACTGTCGATGATGATGATGATGCAACTTCTCATAAAGATTGAACATACTAGTACAACTCTTGATTCATGGTCATATGGGAACCTACGATATACCCGGAATATTCAAGGAGAACGCATGGGAAAATTCCTAATTGGTAGACTTCTCATCTTAAGATGAGCTACCTGGAGGAATGCTGTGCACGCATAACAAGGACTGTCGCGCGGGTCAAATGAACATGCGTATAAAGACAGAAAACTTCATGCATGTTACAAAATCGGGGACTCCCTCTGCATCCAGTGTTCACAAGTACGGCGTGCAATTTGAGGATGCGAATTATTAGGTTTTCATGATTTTAACGGTGTTGGATATCACGCGCTCTGGTTTGTCATTCTGGTTGACGTGGCACAATGACTGTACATTTTCGAACTGATTTCAGAAGTAGTCAACAGATCAACAACTTATTCCAGAACCAAACGGTCGACAGTTATAAGCTCGTTTAAACGAGTTCTCACCATGTATCGAAAAGCATCATGATGCCATATTACCCCAGGAAACTGGGGTAACTGAAGTGTGCAGGTGACTAAGGACAGACGAATTCAAAAGACTTGAGAACGGTTTCTTTCCAGTCGTTATTCCAACCACTCATCATTGTGCTCCTTGAGTTCTGTAAGATTTTCAGACAACTCAGCTTGATGTGGCTGGTGAAATGCATGGTTTTTCGACAAACGACATATTGTAGAGGGGACCCAAAATGATGTACCTGTCCGCACAATGCCGTGGTAGGAGTCTGAAATAAACGATAATCCGGCATCGAAGCTTTCCATCGGTAGTCGATTGCCACATGATTAACCCGAGTCCACATTCGAACCGCAGTCGATGGCCTCTAAGAAACAAGCCTTTGCTGAGAGTTTCTGAAGGGAAAAAAACGAATGATGATCAGCACACAGCTGAAGTTGCCCTTCATTATCTGTGTGGTGAGCCTCACCCCATATCGGCCGTCAAGGTGGGTTTCCTTCGGATTAATTGGGCCGATTTGGCCATTCATACTGCTTGCCAGAATCACATTGACCGCACCTCTCGCTGGCCAAACTTCCTCTCAGCCTCGGAGTTGCCGTCTGTCGGACAGTATGCTGGCACAACAAACGCAAATTGACCTTGGTTGAACCAGTTAACTGAACAATCTTAGGCAAAGCGCAACACCAAAACCCTAGCTATCACGACCACCATGATCAATAGACACCCCAACAGTAATGTGCTAGAAATCCGGATTCGTCTTGAGTGGTTTGAGTTGCATAGCCGAACTGAGACTCGTTGCACGTGTTACAGAGACAACATACATTCATCGATACGGCCATGTTAGGTGATTGACAGGTAAACGAATCAGGACATAGTTGGGATACGTGAGAAGCGTTGGTAAATGAGCTGTAAACGGGAGTGATACTTCTCCATAGCTTAGGTCAAACGGGGTTTGGTTAAGGTACCCCATCTTGAGCCTTTGACCTCAAAGTTCGGTTCACAAACAGCAAAGGGTGAGTGTAGGGTTTTGTTTGTGGACTCCTTCCTGGCCTCTGATTAAAAATCCCGAAACCCGGGACATCGTTTGTTAGCAGTTTCTCGAGAGGTCCTTACAAGAGCCACTGACTCAATAGTCTGAACCACGTAGCTTCCACATGCTAGCCTAGCCCGAGAGCGAAGGGCTGAGGCCTGGATCGCTGACTGTTGATCCTGGTACACAGCGTAATTGCGTTTAGAGCGGCATCGGGCTCATGACAAGGTTCTTTTTGTTTTCCGATGATACCAGATAATTCACAGGTAGTCATCGTCAATCGCTGGGTGACCGGTGTGTGCAGTTTTTAAAGCTGAACGTTTATAACCCGTCCGTTCTTGGCGATAGGCAGCATCCCTGCTTCTATTTAGACACCTTTGTAGTCTGAACAAAACAACTTACAGCCCTATCGCACAGGACAGTGCTACCTTACCTACAAGGTGCCTCGTAATAGAATTTCCCGCAGGTCCTCGTCTGAATACTCCCTGTTGGCCCGCCTGGGACGCTTGAACCTTAAGGATCTAATTTCCAGTGTAGACCGCAGCAACATTGCAGCGCTGAAGCCCAATCACCACGATAAGGTGGTATAGGGACCGGTATAACACTTGGGTCTGGCACCCGCCGATTGAGTACCGGACATCCAGGTATTTTCGTGAAGGTTAACGAACACGCGGGTAAAAACAATAACCAGGTAGTGTTTTTACTGCTGCTCAACGAAGGCTATTCGTCTGCCCGTTGTCAACTGCGTTGTTCATAGGAATTATTATTGTATTCTGCAGCGCATTGGTCCATAGTCGCGAAAATAACGATTAAACTGTGTGGGGCTAAATCACGTAAAGCCTTGTACACCATTTACAAGAATAACGCTAAGTGACTGTTGTGCAGCATTGTGAACCTCCTGTGCCTGCTGCACAGTGCGTGTTGTCTGCTCCGCCCCAATGTTTTCGTATATATATATATATATATATATATATATATATATATATATATATATATAT